GCTAAATCATTTTATCAACAGGGGATTTCATTTTACCCATGATAGTGCCCCTGGGCCCTTTTAGAGGACTGATTTGTAGAAATGAATTCCTCATGAAGATAACATGCCACAGATATGAGGCCATCTCGTACTAAGCGAGTGACCACGATGGACTTGTAAAGCCTGATTCGGTAATGATCTGCAATGTGGCTTTCCAGCAAGTGAATTGAGTGTAATGGGCCCTCCACACGAGAGGATCAAGTTGCCTAAAATTATTTTGGCAATCTGTCCAGCAGTATATCTGGGGAGCATTTGGTGTAATTGAAAGAGGATGGAATTCGAAATTGTGTGGACCTGAGTTTGACTTCCAACGTTGCCATTTACTGTTGAGTTCTCTGGGTCATTAAATTGGAATATATACACACACATAGTTTATGTGTGTGTGTGTGTGTGTGTGTATATAATCAGCTCACTGCTATCGAGTCACTTTCTACTCATCATGACCCAATCAGACAGCGCAGAACTTCCCCTGTGCGTTTTGGAGTAGAAAGCCTCATCTTTCTCCCGTGACGTGAGTAGGGGCCCCAAATTGCTGATCTTGCAGTCAGCAGCCCAGTTTGTAACCACTATGCCACCAGGCCTTCATGTGTATATTTCATGCACATACAATGTATGTGTGCACATGTTTCACACATGCACATATGTATGCGTGCAATGAAGAATAATCGCCAGTTTTGTTCACTGCAGACTTACCAGTTGCGGTGTCTGTCTGTCTGTCTGTCTGAGAACCCTGGGGAGGGCACTGTCTCTTCCTCAGCTCAGGCTAAGGAGCACGCTTTCGCCAGCTTTCTTTTGGAGAGAAGTTTGCCTTCTTCTCTCGTGTGATTTCCATCTTCTTTATTTTTCCCTCATTTCCACCGCCTTCTGTGCGTTCCTTTGTCTGAGCTACGTCTCTTCCCTCGATGCCCCCAGCCACAGCAGCAGGGAGGGGACAGAAAGGGAGAGGCAAAGAGAAGCCTCCAATTCCCCTCTTAGTACATCACTTCTCCTGATCTTTCTGTCACTGTACCATCTGGTATTCGCTCTTTCAAATGGTTTTATGTGCTTCACGTTTCCATCTTGATAAAATGTGGTGGCACAGTCCTAGTCTCACTTTTTAGTGACGTCCGGGTACAAATAAACCCATACACTGGCTCATTTCCTATAAAAAGGGTGGATTCCACTTCAGGAAGGGCAGTGTGGATTGTGGAATTTAGTCAACGATGAACATCGTGACCTTTACTCTGTTTGTACCATCTTCACTGACTCACTCACAAGAAGTACACTCGGGGTCACATTCTTCCTGTGTCATTGAAAACAGCAACAACTTTCCTGTCCTTGCTTGGCACTGCTCCCTAAATCATACTCGCTTGGGGAGAGACCAGAATTCCCTTGGCTTTATCCTCTATGGTTTTGTGATCCAAGTAGTTGAGAAACTGCAGTCTTTTAGTTAATAGGTGACTTTTATTTAATGTTTGGAGTTTGCTATTCAACCACACACACAAAGACCTTTCCTGTTGATAATTTTTACTGAGAAAGCATACGTTTCAAGTCAGCAAATGATTTCATCACATCGTCTGCAATCTATTAGAAATGTGCTTAGCTGGAGCAAGTTACCTGTCCTTTAACGATCTTTAGGAGAAACTTAACATGGCCTCCTCTACTGAGAACTTTAAGGGATCTTCTGATCCGGCTCTTTGCCTTGAAGCCAAGTCTTTGAAGAATTCAGAGGTACCCTCAACCACCCACCCCTGCGAAGCCAAGATCTCTGCAGGTGACCTGCGCCAAGGTGTCTTCCTTGTGACTTACAAGACCAACATCTTCCCTTTGCACTCACTGGCCCCAGACTCCTCACTTGAAGCTTTCTCTTCAGGCTCTCGGAGAGGTCTGAAGAATAGCAGACAAGAAAGGAGGTCAGCAGCAGGGGCTGGTCAGGGAGGAAACCCCTAATGAACATGACCGTGTGCCGTACATTGTTGCTCATGGGCATTTTCCAGTTGATTCTCACTCATCGAGTACCCACGTGACAGGGTAGAACTGCTCCCCAGGGTGTCTTGACTGTAATCTTGATGGGAGCGGAGAGCCAACCCTTTCTCCCACCGAGCCTTTAAGATAGCAGCCAGCGGCCTCTGTTCCATGAGCGGTGAGCAGTCCTGAGTGGTGAGCGATGCACGTGTGGAGAGGACAGTCACTTTCTCAACTTGGACCTTTTGTTCCTGA